GCGCACAAGAAGGTGAGCTGCAGGCACCCTTTGTGTACCGAGCACGCACAACTACACGCCATGTTCACATATAATTTGCTATGGCATTCTGGAAACCTAATACGGCTCCCAGCCTCACTAACCACGGTGCCTCCAGGGGCAAATGCAATAAAATAAGACACCTTCAAACTTCTTTGAAAGGAGTCGATGAGGCTTCAGACCTTTGAGAGGTGGGGAAAAAAAAGAGCAACAATTGGGAAAGTGCAAAATATTGACTTTTTTTCCCCCTCTCATCGGCACAGAGAGAAAAAGACCCGGGATTCTATTCCCAAATTCAGACGGAACAATTTATCTTTCTGTGAGGATTTGGCAGGATAGGATCTCAAGACTTGGGATATTTCAAAGCCCAAAGCACCAAATCGACGCCTGCCTCCGCTCTTTAAACCGAGACACCAGAATGGTTACTATTCAAAACATACAGATGGACACAAAAATCTCTTTAAAACCAGCTGCACAATATGTCACAGTCTATTTACTTTTAAACAGAGCATTCCACCATCGGTTTTGTTTAAAACAGGCAAGCTTCCAAAAGCCTTGTCTTTCTGTTGTTTTATTTTACTGCCAAAAAACCTTGCTTGCCAACAACTGGTGTCAGCCTTAGCCGGCATATACAGAAAATTTCCTAGGCAATTTCTTCTTTCTGTTGTTATTTAGTTTCCCTTCTTTGCAGAGAAGGAAAACAATTCAGGGTTGGCTGGGTTTTTGGGCCACCTCAGAGTGTCATGAAAACTGGGCACCACAACGAGTTGGAGAAGAAGAATTTAAGTTAGGGGCTTAAAGCTACAGGATCCGAATTGTTAGGAATAAGCGGAGGATTTCTGTCCATGAAGGATCCTGCAAAACAACTGAATTCCATCCTTTGTTTTCTCAGCACAAAAAAAATAGTTTGAGTGGAGAAAACAGCAACAAGGCAGATATTTCCCCCCCCCCACATCTGGAGGTGAACCCCACATGGGGCTGCTTAAATAAGAGAGCAAATGGAGAATAACAGAGGCCTCGGAGGTCACCTAGTCCAACCCCCTGATCAAGCAAGAGAACCTATACCCTCCTTTCAGACAAATGGCTGTCCAGTCTCTTCTTAAGGGCCTCCAGAGATAGATCACCCACAACCCGTGAGGGCAAAACAAAAACTTAATTGCCCAGAACAAAAACTTTAATTTTTTAAAAGCCTAGAAACAGGATACAATTCCAGGCACTTTTTCCCCTGCTGCTTCTCCTCAACCCCCCCCCCCTTCCCGTGGTACAGAAGTTCATTAATTTTTACGATCCTTCCAAGTCAGTCCCCAGCTTCTAAAGCCTCACAAAGGCTACAACTTTGGCGAGGCATTATGTATATTATTAGGACTTTCCAGTGAATTAAAGCCATTTAGACTTGCGCTGGCCTTTCAATTAGCTTTTGTTGTTGTTGTTGTTGTTGTTGGCAGCTGTCATCTCAGGTTCTTAAAGGAGACAATGCACAGCTTCAGCTGCGTGTTCAGAGGCACACCAAACTTGTGCAAAAAAAGAAAGCACAATGGCCAAATAGAGAGCTTCCTGCTGGATTGCAAAAAAGCACTCGGGCAGGTTTAGAGCCCGAGAAACACGAACGGCACACCCTTTTCAGTAAATGTGTGCCATTTCGGTTGGGCAAGAGACAGAATTTAAAAAAAAACAAAACAGGGAAAACTCCTTAAAAAGAGAAATACAACCCAAACTGGCAAAGAGGTCCTGCGGAACAAGACGCCACCGCGATCCAGCAAAGCACAAAGGAGAGCAATTTAGAAGGGAAAATTCTAACTGTAAGATTTCAGGCACCAGGAAACGGCCCAAAGCTATTGTTATTATTATGATTGTTACAGAATAACCTTCCTCATTTCAACACACGATGTTTGGAAAACATTTAGCCCAGCAAGCTAATTCGCAAGGGAGAACAGCCCTTTCTTTCCCCTGCTAAGCGTCCAGGATTTAGGAAATGGGGGAAAAATAATAAACACCTCTATTAAAGGTAGAGCTTGGAAACTTTAAAAAGCATTGTTCTAAACACGGGGTTGAGGGCTGCAAATTAAAATTCTGCTGATTCCCATGAAGGCAACTTCAAGAGCAGAGTTCTTGAACAGGCAAATACTCCATTTACAAAATGCTGCATTTTGGCAGTCTAGATAATATGGGCTCCTAAAAGGATTCCCAAACTAAACAGCACGTTTTGCAACTCAAGGCAGCTGTGCTATCAGATCTACCTCTGCCTAAATAAATAAATCTAAGATTACACCTACAGGTCCAAATTAGTTACCAACCCTCACATTTCCAACAATTGCACCCCTGTCTTCCCTTTCTGTGCGTGCAGTAAAAGTAGCCGCCATTATTTTATCAATAATCTCAAAACCAGATTTTTTTTTCCTCTGGCTTTATTTTCTTCTGGGTGGGGGTGTGATTGCATAGGATGCAACAGACTGCAATCACCAGGTGAAAGAAAGAAAGAAAGAAAGAAAGAAAGAAAGAAAGAAAGAAAGAAAGAAAGAAAGAAAGAAAGAAAGAAAGAAAGAAAGATTTAAAAACTGAGCAAGGGAAAGCAAAAAGGAAGATTTCTCCTGCTCGTGCAGGACAGAGAGAAAGAAGCAACTACAATCATGCAAAATAATAATAATAATAATAATATTCTAACTAAAGGGCGCTTCGCCTTTTATAAGGGCCACCCGTTCAAGTAAACCTGTAAAGATATAAATATTGCACCACCCCCTTAGAACAGCAATACTCACATCATTCCCAAGCTTGGGGAACTGCTATTCTTCACCAGAGAAAAACATGCCAATGTAACGTCTTGACTATTTCACAGGGGGTGGGGGAGAAAGTACAGCAAAAGCAAGCAATGTCTTCCTTCAGGACCCCAACAGGGCTGTGGAGTTTCGCTCAAGCTCCTTCTGGAAACTTTCTCCTTTCCTACTAAAACGCAGCAACGTGTCTCTAGGTTGGCACCCTTCCTTTCTGCCCAGCCAAGATTTAAACTGCTGGCAAAAAAAAAAAAAAGGAGAATTCATCAGGACGGGCCAGAGTTAGCAGGGATGTGCCCGGCTGTAAAGGACTCAGAGGCCCTCGGATTGACAGAAAAATAGGAACAAGCAAAATAGACTCGTGGCGTCAAGTAGAAAAGGAGGAAGAACACACCGGTGTCCAAAACACCCTTCATGCATTCGAGACCTCACTTCTTTTCCAGCAGGCTGTAAACCCAATTTGAAAAAATCCACTTTCAAGTCCCTCTCCCTCACAAAGTGAGCCCAGGTCTTAATTCTCAACAGCCGGAGAGACATCATCACCTAAGCAGAGTCCAGACAGCAGGAAAACAGCATTCCCTAAAAACTGACATTTATTTTCTTATTTCCCCGGCTCAAAAAAATAAAATAAAATGTGGAGATGGGCAGGGAACACCAGCATGCAATTCCCACATTCTGCTTGGGCGACCCAGCTCGCTTACTGGCAGTAAATATATTACCAGAGTTGGGGATACAGGATATTCCTTTTAGCGCTGGCCGAAAGGCGAGGGGGCTTCACAGGATTCTTACTGGGTGGGTTTCAATTCCAACAAGGATCCTTTTAGGTCAATCTCCCACCTTTTTCTTTGGATTTACCCTCTCCCCTGCCCCACAAGCAGAACCACACCGAAATGCTACCGTTTACTCTAGGCATGAGGTAATACGAAGATGACAAAAAGGTTCATTATCAGCACATAATACAACATATTAGAAAACAGTTTATCAACTTCTCTGATTTAAAAGAAAGAAAAAAAAACAAAACAGATAAACTCGCAGAAAAATGAATATAGTTTTGGCAACCGTAGGCGCTCCAGCGAAAATCAACACCAGCCCTGTATTAGGTGCTCTGTTATTTTGGTTCTTCTCTTAAATTTCACACATGCATGAATACACCGATGAATTTAGTCACGCCAACCGAGACAATGCCAAACAAACCTTGAGTTACACCCCGCTAGGAAGTCCACAGAAATTTTTAAAACACACAGGCAACACACAGGTCCCGAGCAGTGTTGCTACTTTGCCCCTTAGAAGGAGCAACTTATAAGTCTAAGAGACCAACTCTTTGCAGTTTGAATGATGAAAATATAGCTTTAAAACCAAGTTTACAGCAGACAGCGCCTTTATTAAGAACCCCGTTCATCTCTTAAAACTGGCCTGCGTATAAAACCTTGCTTTCTTGGACCCCTGGGCTGAGACTTTCAGATCAGAATTTTTCTTCCCTCTTTTGGGGGAGATCGAAACTGCCGGGGTGTGTGGAAGGTTCCCCCAGACAAGGAGATGAAATCACGTCTGATTTACCCCTTTATGCAAAAAAAAAAAAAAAAAAAATCCTGGGCTGTTTTGTGCAGCCTCTAAAGCATTTCTGGAACAACCAGGACTTTTTTCCCCCTAGAAAATCCGAAGCAGGAAGAGAGGGGCAGGGAGGCTTTGCAGTGAGATGTTCTCGCCAGCGAGCATAACAATTAAAACACCAGAGGGGATCCAGCAAATTCCTAGCTCAGCCGCCCTCTGTAATTGTAATTAGCTCCCCTGTTACTTCAGAAGCAGAGGCGGCTAGGCAGACACAGAATAGAAAGCCAGCTGAACTCGTGGTGCTTTTCCCCCTTGGAGAGAAACGGCAGGGAGGGGAACCTGCTTCCATTTTCACTGCATTTTGCAACTGGCCAACGGGTTCCAAACAAAACCGACCGAGCGAGCAAAATACCACCTTTGCAAGGCTCTTTTTGCCACCAGCTTCGGGACCTAAAGATCACAAACCGATGAGAACAGATCAAAGATGGCTGCGGCTCTGAACACAGCTTCTCCCAAAGCTGAGGAAAAGAAGTCTGCGGCCCTGTTTATCCAGGGAGGGAAGGGGTAACGGGAGTGGGGGGGAGAATGAGGGTACGAGAGCCAAGGGCCTGGTTTTTTTGTTTGTTTGTTTTGTTTTTCTCCGAAGCTGGATTGGTCTCCTACCTGTTTTCTCTTTGATTTCACACAGGACACTGAACAAAGCCGGCTTCATTCTATGGCAATTGAGCGCGTGCTTTCTGCAAAAAAAAAAAAAGAGAGAGAGAGAGAGAGAGAGAAGAAGGAAAAATAAACATCCAGGAAAAGGGAAGGAAAGATATATTATCCCGAGGGGAGGGGTGAAGAGGCCACCCTTTCTGTCCTAAGACTTTGGGGTTTGTTTTTTTTAAGTACAAGCTTGGGGCCTCTTTTTTAAGCATCCTGCCGCACGCCCCCCCCCAGCAGGGGCACTCTTTCTGTCCTTAAAAAGAGGCATTTGAAAGGGAGCTCCATGGTGGAGGAAGGAAGAAGTTCAAAGAGAAAGCCCCAAAGGTGAGAATCGAAGGGTGCGTGGGACATGGGGAGGTCTTGGTCAAACAGTGGAGGCTACTAACAACAACTAACTAGAGTTTGGGGGGGGTCTCTCAACTGTCCCCCCCAATTCCCAAATCCAAAGTCACTCCTGAAATATCTCCCAGCCCCTTTCTTGGGGAAAATAAATCACAGCTTGTCAAGGCAGGCTCCATCAGCAGTCATGATTTATGGAAAGAGAAGGAACTTCTAGAGTTCAACTCCGGGCTTTGGCGGCCTTGTATGAACGGAGGGCCTGGTAAAAGGTTTCCAAAATAGATAAATTAATTAAATGTCGGGGGGGGGGCACCTCTCTCTTCCCATGTTCCTCAGCAGGCCCATGTTTATTTAGAGCACCCACACTCCAGACAGGAAAGGAGAAGTAAAAGAGTAGAGGCCGAAGGGGTTTTTGAGAATAACAAGAACCCGGTCCCCCCCCCCACCCCAAGGTTCAAAATTTTCTAAAAAAAAAAGAAAACGCAGAGTTTGGGGGAGGCCCAGGACCCAGAAGGAGGGCGGCAAACAGGCTAAGTTTCCCTCTACTCACCTCCCCAACCCTTTGGAAGAACTGTGAGCAGCCATGCCTGTAGCTTAACTCCAGGCCCTCCTCAAATCAATAATAAACAAACAAATTCTCAGATCATTTGCACATACAGACACGATCTCTCCATTCCTGGGACAAACTTTTGAGTCTCCGTCAATTTTTTTTTTGTTTTTGCTGTTGTTTTGTTTTGCTTGCTTGCTTGGCTTGATATTTGGGGCTAGGTTGCAATGTTTCCTTTAGCGAGGAGAGCGCCCACTTCTTTGCTGGTTTGTTTTTTTTAAAAGAAGAGATGCAACTCCTTCAGCATTCCAAGGATTTGATTGTTTGGGGGTGCCATTTCTCCCCTTGGCATTCCTAGGTATGTCTACTAGATGATGGGTGTGTGTGTGTGTGTGCGCGCGGAAGTTGCTACTCCCCATCTTTCAAGGGTATTGCAAAGGAAGGAAGGAAGGAAGGAAGGAAGCTCTGCTTCAGGATTATGGATTTGGGAAGGGGATCAATCTCCCCCCCCCACACACACACACCCAATGGAGCAACATAAACAACTGGCACCTGGAGAGGATGCTAATCTGGGGTTATTTGGTTCACTTAATGGGATTGCCATTTTCTCTTCCCCTGCAGAGGTTTTCCTTTTGAGAAGGAGGGGGGTTGCAATGCCTTCGCCCCTGGCATCTCCAGGCTGCCTTTAAGAGAAGCAGCTTTCAATGCCAGCAGGACTTTGCCAGGAGGCTGGCAAACAAGCAAGCAAAAAAATAGCTTAGCAGATCAACAGCGTATCTATCTGTCTATACATACATACATACATAAACACAAAAAAACACAACACCACAGACAATCTCGCGCGCAGCTCCCACCCCACCCCAACCCTGGCCGGCTGGTGGCAAAAAAGACCAACTTTGCTTGCGCCTCATCCAGGCTCTGGTCGGTGATGGTCATGATCTGGTGGAGGATGTCGCCAATGTCCTGCTTGCGGCCGTCGCCGTCGGCGCCCTCGTGTCCGTGGGGAGGCGGCAGAGCCATGCCCCCTTGCACCGCGTGGCCGGCCAGGTTCACGCCGGCCAGCGTCTGCATCATCCGCGACTGCTCGTCCATGCTGCCCAGCCGTGGGGATGGCACTTTGGGGACGGGAGAAGGAAGGGGGGAGGGGGGAGGAAAGAAGGAGAGGAGAGGATGGAAGATGAGAGGAGAGAGAAGGAAGGAGAGAATGGAAGATAGGAAGAAGAGAGAAAAGGAAGGAGAGAATGGACGATAAGGAAAGAGAGAAGGGATGAATTGAGGAAGGAGAGAAAGGGGAGAAGGAGAGGGAGCCAGAGAAAGCGAGGTTTTTCTTTTGGGGGGGGGAAAGGCAGCAAAAAAAAAGCAGCCTTCCTTGGCCGAGAAGCGGGCAAAGCAAGAAAGGGAAAGTAAACCAGCCCCCGTAAACCAGGCGCGGGTCCTGCCGCTCGCGGGAAAGGAAGGGAGCCAGGAAAAAAGGGGGGAGCCGAAAGCTAAATCCCCGAGGCTGGCATCGCTCCGGCTGGAGGCTGGTCTCTCCCGCTCTGGCTCCCCTTCTTTAGAGTTCCAGTCTCCGGCGGGGATCCAGCGGCGATCGGGGCCGGCTTCTGCAGAAGCAGCGGCGGGGGATGGGGGGGCTTTTTAAAGTCGCGGGGTTTTTTCTTCCTCTTCCCCCTCCTCCTCCTCGTCCTCCTCCTCTTCGGCTCCCGGAGGGTCGTGTCTGGGCTGGGGGGCTTTTCCCTTCCGAAGCCAAGGCGGCGGGAGCGGAGGAGCGAGCCGGGCTTGTAAGGGTCCCTTCCTCCGACTCGGATTCGGCTCCTCTGTGTGTCGGTGCGTCTGTGCGGCTTTCTCTCTCTCTCTCTCTCTCTCTCTCTCCCTCTTCTTTTCACTTCCTCTGATTTTTTTTCTCCTTCTTCTTCTTGGAAACAAAGGAGGAGCGGGCAGAGCGGGGGGGGGGTGCTGCCCCAAAAGCGAGAGCCCCCAAAATGAAAAAAAAAATAAGGACAAAAAAAAGGGGGGGAAAAAGGCTTTTTTTCAAATCCTTAAAAAGTTACGACGCGGAGCCTGGGCCAGGCAATTTCTCTTTTTCTTCTGGGAAAAAACAAGCAGCAGGTAGGCGGCGGGCATCCCCGGCTCTGGATAAGGGCCACATTTAAAAGCGGGAGGGGGGCGGGCAGGGGGCGAGCCGCCTTCCCCCCCAGGTCAGGGCGGAGAGAGTCGTCCTTCGGCCGGAGAGGAAAAACAAAAGCATCACCAGCAGTCTCGGCCTCTCGGTCTCGGCGGGCTCAGAGGCTGCGAAGAGAAGAGAAGCCAGAAAAAGGGGGAAGAAAAGTTTGAACTTCTGCACGGCACACACACACAAAAAAAATTAAACAAAGGAAAAGAAAAGTGGACGGGGAGGGGGGGGAAGAAAAGGGGAAAAAGAGGGAAGAAGGGAAAAGGGAAAGGGGAGAGAGAAAAAAGGGGGAAGGGAAAAGAAAAAGAATAATAATAATAATAATTGCAAGCTGCCCCTGGAAAAAATATATATATATATCAGCCGGCTGGAATTTATGGGTCCGGCCGCTCCGTGACTGTGCGTGTGTGAGTGAGTGTGTGTGTGTGATTTGTATTGCTTGATCGCCGTCGGGGTGAGCGATTGACAAGCTGCCAACGCCGTTCACTCACCCTGCCGACGTGTCGCCCGGCGAAGGAGGCGAGCGGCGGCGAGAGCCACCGGAGGGGATGGAGAGCCCCGCCCCTCGGCCCGCCCCCTCCCACGCCCCGCCCCCTCGGAACTTTGGAACACGCTCCGGCGGCGGGTCCAGAGGGATGCCGAGCGCCCTCCGCAGCCAAGCAAGGGCTGGAGGGGGCGGGTCGCTCCCTCGCTCGCCCTCCCGGTCCCTCGCTCTCCTGTCCGGCAGGTGGGGCTGCCTTGCCCGCTTAAGAAAGTTGCCCCGCCTTCCCTCTCCTCTAAGCCACGCCCCTTACCTGTCTCCACAGCCAGGTACTCCGCCCCGCCTCCCCGGCGGCGCCGCCAAGGTGCCACATCGCTCTGATTTGGCCGCGCTTGCGAGAGCCGGCTTTTTATCGGGGGCCACGCCCCCGCATGCCCCGCCTTCCCACCTGTAAGGATGGGGTTTTTTTTCCCCCCTCCCCTCGGCGCCAGGAGCCGGCCCCGCTCTCTGCTGGCCCCGCCCTTATTGCCCCAGCTCCGCCTCCTCGGCTTTAGAAGCTCTCGGCTTCTGCTTTCTGTGTGCGTGAGGGTGTGTGGCCCCTCCCACTCGCGTCACTGTTTCAGCCCCGCCCGGTGGGGGGCGTGGTTAAGGTGCCCCGGCTTGGCTTTTTCTGAAGGCCGTCTTGTTGCCAAGGGAGCGTGAGGGAGGAGTTGGGGCCCGTCACGTGGGCAAAGTGAGGAGGAAAATGGGCTTGCCTTGTTCCCCCTCCTTCTCCTCACAACCGGGAGCCGCTTTTAACGTCGCGCAGAACGAAAACTGACCCGGTTTGGGTTTTTTTCGACCCAACCGACACGCAGCTTCGGAACGGTCACTAACGGTCGCTGAGGCACACTTGTACCAAATGCAAAAACGGCCCCCTCCCCTTCTCCGAGAGTGAATCGCGGCGGGCCAATCAGAACTCTCCGAGGAAGGGCACGAGCCGCTTTCCACCAATCCCAGAGGGCGGTGATAGAGGAAGGCGGAGCGCAGGGCAGCGCAACTTCCGATTGGCGCGTTCGAACTGGCACGCGGGGCGGGGCGGGGCATCGAAAGGCGGAGGGCGGTGCGCCTGTGCTGTGGGTGCGGTTGCTATAGCGACGGTCGCTGTCGCTTCGGTTGGGTTTTTCTCCGTTTCCTCGCGTCCTACACGCGTCCACCCTGGCAGCCTTCCCACGACCCCCGCCTGCCCACACGGCCGTGCAGGCGCCCTCCCGAGGGCCACCTGGCAACATCGCCGCCTCTCCGCCCGCCCGTCTCTCCTTGCCCGTTGCCACCTGGACCTGGGCCAGCTTACCCACCCGCCGAGCCCCGCTTGGCTTCGTGGGGGGAGAAGCGACCCTTTGCAAGGGCTGCCCCTTCCGCACGGCCCGGGTTGCCTCCACCCAGGTTCAGAAGCAGGACTGAGGACACCGTCCCGGCCTTGAGGAGGACCAAAACCCATCCTCCCCTGCCTGGGACCCATGCAAAGCGGGGCCAAGCCCATGCACGACGCCCCGCTTGCTGCCCGCTGCTCCCGGGAAGGGCTTTGATCCAGCGGCTGAAGAGTCCGTTGCAAATGAACTGGGATCTTCGCCTGCCTCGCGACCGAAGCCCTTGGAGGATGCTCGGAGGCAAGTCCTCCTGGCCCGTTCTGTAACATCATTTATTGGGATTTAAGGCATTTGGAAGAAAAATTTCCGAGCTCGCCAGTTTGCAATCCAACTGGCCCATCCCCGGAGTGGCTTCTTCCTTCCTGTGCAATTGTGTATTAAAAAAAAAACAAAAAAACCTGCTTCTGTCAGATAAAATTTATTTCCCAGCAACTCTTTAACAATGTGGCGTGTTGGACTGTAGTTAATTTATGGAGATTTTTTTTATCAACATTCTGTTTACCATTATTTATTAATGCCATGTTTAAAAATATTACGGTTGGAAATTTATTCCAATGCACATTAGTAAATTATGCTTGTAATTCCTAATGCATTTTTAATTAAGAATTTATTCCTGTCTGCTTTTATTTATGGTTCCAATGCTCCCTGTTGCAGTGCTACATATATAATTGGAGACACTCTTAATAAGTATTCTTGGACATTACATGTTACAAAATATGGGGGGAGGGTGGGGTGCTTCAAGCAGAATTATAGTAAGCAACAATTCTTCCACTACCTGTCTTCATTCATCAGCTGGCCCAGAAGCAGCAACAACACATACACAAACTTTTAGTCCTAGAACAGTTTTTCCCAATTGGAGGTCACCTAGATGCTAGTTAAAGTTGGGAAATCTGGGAACCGTGGTTCTGTCACGCACAGAGCTCACCAAATGATAGAAAGGAGCTATACATTTGCGCACAATTATACCATTTGTTTAAAAAAAAAAAAACAGGTTGCAGATGGGCATTAAGATTAATGATAGGGAATCTCTTTGTGATGGAGACAAAGTCTTCAGAACTTGATGGAGGGCAGAATCTGTTACAAGGTAGTCCTTGACTTACGACCACATTTCAGCCCATTTTACAAACTTTCTTAAATGAATCTGGCTTCCCCTTTGACTTGGCTTGTCAGAAGATTACAAAAGGGGATCACTTGACCCCAGGGCACTGCAACACCGTCGTAAATAAGTTGTCAAGCGCCTGGATTTTGACACATCAATAGTCCTAAGTGAAGAACAATCAATTTTTCCAGAGCTGTTGTAACTTCGAACAGTTGTAAGTTGAGGACCACCTGGATAGCATGAAATAAACAGTTGTAAGTTGAGGACCACCTGGATAGCATGAATCCCTTGAGTACTGATGGGGGGAGCTGGGGCCAATGGATTTATTTTATTTGGTGCTAATGCTGTGTGTTTTTCCCCCCTTACTCCAGGGAGGATTTGGGGACAGGCCGCCCAGTAAGATCCCATTCTTAGAGGTTAAAAACCTAGCAAAAAATTAGACAACTTCAATGGGTTTTTTTTAAAGGCTTTGGAGGTGACAAGCAGCTTTTTTCCTTTTCCCTCACATTCTCATGTGAAGCAGTAGGTAGGGTTATGTAGAGGAGGGAGGGAGGGAGGGGGGGAAGAGAGAGATGGACCTGAGTGAAGACTTCACAATGGACAGCTTATATCTCTGCCTATCTATTTAATGTGTATCTGAGGTCCTGAGTGCAGACTTCATGGTGGACAGTAATTTGTATTGTTGATGGGAGGGGGGAGACAGAGAGAGGGGGGGGGAAGACAGAGAGATGGACCTGAATGAAGACTTCACAATGGACAATAGTGTAGTCCACAGGTCGGCAACCTGCGGCTCCGGAGCCGCATGCGGCTCTTTGAGCCTTCCCATGCGGCTCCCAGCCTCCTCTGCCTTTGCAGAGAGAGACAAAGACAGAGAGAGGAATTGCGCTTCCCTGCTTCTCTCTCTCTCTCTCTCTCTCTCTCTCTCTCTCTCTCTGTGTGTGTGTGTGTGGCTTCTCTCTCTCTCTCTCTCTCTCTCTCTCTCTCTCTCTCTGTGTGTGTGTGTGTGTGTGTGTATAAAAAAGAGAGTGCACTCACAGTGTTCTCCGAGGAGCTGAAAAGCTTACTGGGCGGAGCTCTCCCTTTGCTGCGTCTCTGCAGGAAGCAGGAAGGGCAGGAGAGAGCTAGCTAGCCCAGCTAGGCTGACTCAGGAATTCTGGGAGTTGAAGTCCATGAGTCATAAAAGAGACGAGGTTGCCTACCCCTGATCTTGTTGACAACAGCCTGAAGCTTGTCAGGTGAGCAGCAGATAGGAGAGGGGGGGAGAAGAGAGAGAGAGAGAGAGAGAGAGAGAGAGAGAGAGAGAGAGAGAGAGGAAAGAGAGAGAGAATAAGAAAGAGAGCGGGGGAAGAGGAGTGGCAGACCAAGGGCAGATAGAGAGAGAGAGAGAGAGAGAGAGAGAGAGACCCTTTTGACATCTAAAATGAAGATAACACTGCATATATCCTTTTTTTACCTCTGTGTGTGTGTGTGTGTGTGTATGTATACATACATACATATACATATATATATATACACACACACACATACATACACACACATACACACAAAACACACACACACCTATAATAAAGGTAAAAAAGGATATATGCAGTGTTATCTTCATTTTAGATATCAAAATGGTTTTGCGGCTCCCAGTGTTTTGTTTTTGGTGGGAAACGGGTCCAAGTGGCTCTTTAAGTGTTTTGGGTTGCCTACCCCTGGTGTAGTCTATGCCTATCTATTTAATCTGTATTAGATGACCTGAGTGAAGACTTTATGGTGGACAGTAATTTATACCTTTGATGGGAGGGAGAGAGAGAGAGAGAGAGAGAGAGAGAGAGAGAGAGAGAGAGAGAGAGAGAAGGACCTGAGTGAAAACTTCACAATGTACAGTAGTGTAGCTTATATCTATGCCTAATGTGTGTCTGAGGACCTGAGTGAAGACTTCATGATGGACAGTAATTTGTATCTTTGATGGGAGGGGGGAGAGGAGAGAGAGAGAGAGAGATCTGCCTGAGTGAAGACTTCACAATGGACAGTAGTTTATAGCTTTAAATGGAGGCAGTTTGCTGTGAAAGAACTGAATATAGACCTCACTGTGAAGCGGAAATTTCTACCTAAGAAAGTATGAAGTGTGTGAGTGTGTGTTTGTGTATTTGATTGTGTATGTATTTATGTACATATGTATGGAGATACCTAAGTGAACAATACAGCACATCATAGTACCATAACATATCTTTTTAATCTGTAAGAGGACCTGAGAGAAGACTTCATAGTACACAGTAACCTAGCTGCCTGTCTATCTAATCCACACTAGAGGACCTGACTGAAGACTTCGCCCAGCCCATATGAGGTTGCTAGTTTACTGAAGCTAAGGAAGTCTGGATTGAGGGCTTTAGGAACGGGGACCCAGCAGAATTTCTTTCTAGGGTGTGTTGAATTTGGGGTCCGAGAGCACCGAGGTCTCCCTGAATATGATGACCCAGGCATGCTCCATGCATTCTGCACGTTCCTCCTTCCCGCCCTTCCAAAATAGGTTTGAATCTCAAAAGCAACGGAGGGCGCTAGGACCCGGCAGACCTCTCCCGCGCCTGCCGCCACCTCGCCTACCTAGGCAGACGGCGCCTTATGGCCGCCCCTCTGTTTTTTCCTGCCTCGCCCTCCGCGAAGCGCATGCGCCCACAGCCCGGCCGGCGGCCCGCTTTCCCCCGGTTTCCGGCCGCTTCCGAATGGCGGCACTACTACTTCCGGGTCGGCGCCTCCGTGGCTGAGCCGCGCCGCTCTGCCCGTGGGGGTCTCCCGGCGACCCTCCGCCCACGCGATCCCCGACCCCAGCGCCACGCCTGCCTTCGCCGCCCCGCAGGGACGGTCCAGCGACGGCGGCGCCCGCCCGGCCCGTAAGTCCAGATCGGGCCTGGCCTCTGCCTGGTGGGGGGGGGATCCCCCTCCTCCTTCCCGCTGCTGGACTCCAGGTCCCATCAGGCGCGGCCTCTGGCCTTGCGGGCCCGGAGGAAGCGGGACGAGGCCTCGATGGGGCCGGGGAAGCCATGAAAGGAGGAAGCGCCCTGATGGGGAGGGGAGGGGAGGAGGGGAGAGACGTTGGGAGGGGCTGGGGGGGTGCAGAGGGGCCCCACCCCCATCCCACCCACCCCCCACCTTTGGGAGTCTCTGCCTGCTGAGCCCAGCCCCCATCGTTGCTCTGATCTTGGGGACAGTCTCCCCTTTCCCAAGCATGGGGGGTCTCTTTTTCCCCGTCCCCAAATTTTTCCCCTCCCCATAGACCCCCCCCAACCTTGATCCTGCCCCCCCAGCCTCCCCCCCTTCCCATACTGTCGCAGGAGGCAGCAGTTCCCACTCCCAGATGAAGAGTGGCCAACTACGACCCCTTTGACCAGCTGTGGACTTCAACTCCCAGCATTCCTGAGACAGCAGGTCCCTTTCTTGTCCCAGCAGGCCTGGCTGAGGAATGCTGGGAGTTGAAGTCCGTAAGTTGTCAAAGGAGTCCTATGCTCCGGACTGCCCTTGTTTGCAGGGATGGAGGAAGGGAGGACTTGATTCCGGGCAGTTGCTTTACTTCCAAGAGTTGCCCTTTGACACACAGCCCTCCGAGGCTGCCCTTTGACCCCGAGGGGCTCTGCCTCTGCTTATTGGGCTGTCAGTCCCGTCCCCTGCCTTTTCTCCCCCCTCCAAGGAAAATGGGCTCCTTTTCCAGTTCTGCTGGTAGTTGTTTACTTCCCTAGGAATGCAAAATAAGTGAAAGGGGGAGGAGCCAATATGCTAATGTGTTGTTGTGTATTTGGGGTGCAAGAAATATGAACTAGTAAAACCTAACAGTTAGAACAATTAATCAGGGAAACAGCTTGCCTCCAGAAGCTGTGAATGCTCCAACACTGGAAGTTTTTAAGAAGAGAGATTGGACAGCCCTTTGTCTGAAATGGAATAGGGTCTCCTGCCTGGGCAGGGGGTTGGACTAGATGACCGCCAAGGTCCCTTGCAGCTGCTTTATTATTATTATTATTATTATTATTATTATTATTATTATTATTATTATTATTATTATCCCATTTTGCTGCCTCCTGAGCTTCCAGTGATTAATTGTTCTAACAGTCAAGAAATTTCTTCTTAGTTCTAGGTTGCTTCTCTTCTTGATGAGTTTCCATCCGTTGCTTATTGTCCTGCCTTCTGGTGCTTTGGAGAATAGCTTGACTCCCTCTTCTTTGGGGCAGCCCCTGAGATATTGGAAGACTGCTCTCATTAAACTAGACATACCCATATCTTGGGGGTAGCAGCATGAGTTACATCTTAACATGTTATACGAACTAACCCAACCCTGTCATTTTCCAAGATATAGGAGCATGCCTTCTCTGTTGTGGTAGTAGCTCTCTGGAATGACATTTCATTCAAAGCTTCATGCAGCTCAAACCCTAGTGATGTTCATAAAATAATTTTTAAAAATTGATTGTTTTCTTGGTTGATTGCAGACTCTCTGTGTTTTGGGGTTTGATTTTTTTTTTATTGGCTGTGAGTCATCTTTTTGTTGGTTTTGATTTTTTTTTTCTTCCTGTCTATATTGTTTTTCTGTTATTAACTGCAATCCACCCAGAGTTCTTAAGGAGTTGGACGGCCTTGAAATTGAGTTAAATGTATTTTCAAAAAAATAGGGTGAAGCATCCCAGCTAATTCAGATGTCTTCTCAGTCCACTCATCACCATAATGTAGCGATGTGTTCATGAGTTTTGATCTTGGTATCAACTTTTTATTGCTTTAATATTTCTAGATTTTGAATAGGAGAAGTCAGTTCCTCCTGTTGTTGTCCCACAATGCTGAGACGGTCTTACTCTGCGTTTTCACCTTGCACTGAGCTGTGATTTGCTCTAGATCAGTGATGGCGAACCTTTTAGAGACCGAGTGCCCAAACTGCAACCCAAAACCCACATGCATCGTCAAGTGCCGGGTGGGTGTGGCCCATTGGCTGGGCATGGCTGCAGTGGTAACGGCAGACTGGGTGAGACTAAAAAGTTCAATCAATTCCAACTTTGCAAGATTTTTTTTTCCCTGCGAGAAGTTGAAATTGTTTGATTGAACCTTTTTTTTTTTTTTTTGCACACGGCGGCACAGGCCTAAAGCAAAAAGGTTTTATAGAACCCAGCTGAAGGCCTAGGACTGGGGCGATGGCACGCATGCCCACAGAGGGCTCTGAGTGCTGCCTCTGGCACCCGTGCTATAGATTCGCCACCACTGCTCTAGGTAATATGTGAGTTTACCCTACAGTACCTTCCTATCCTCATTTATCCCTCTTTAAAGCGAGGCAAAGCCTGTCCTTATTGCTGTTGTTTTGGAATAGGGTTAGAAGGCTGTAGAATTGGAGTCCCCAGATAAGAATGGGTGGCTGAGGAATTCTGGGAGTTGACGTCTTCAAGTTGCCAACATTGGAGATCCTGGCTGAAAAAGATGCTGTGAGCCTCTCGCAGTGAAATGGCCAAATTCACGCCAAATAAAATTATTGGTGCAGATCAGATGCAAACAATGGTTGTCGCACTCAAGATTTCTGGCGATAGGAACGGATCGCCACGAGGTCACGCAATTTATCCACACGGCTGTTGGTAACCTCATTCGGTATTGTGGCGTAATGTATGTGGAAAAAAACCACCACCGCCGAAACAAAACCGCGTTTGATCTTGTGGCATAACATTGCTTTCTCGGCTCTGTTTTCTTCCATGGCTGCTACGTGGTTGCTGAGAAACCACGGTCAGAGTTGGAATTGTAAATAAATGATTTCAAACTTGATTTCCTTTTCCGCCCACTTATGCTTTCCAGTCTTCAACTCTGAAGGAGAACCTCTTTATGCTGAATCTGGAGTGTTCCCATTGCTTTTTCAGTTGCACAGAGGAGCAATTGACTAGTCCAGCGTCTAAATCTAGGCGACCCGGGCTGTTGCAGTTTTCCTGGTCCATTATTTTAAATTGACTGCCTGTTGATCAGGTGAATTGGTCGCTGACTCTAAGGACGCAACTTGTTCTGCACCAAAACCAGAAGGGGGGAAAAAAGTTCCGCTAAAAGTTAATCTCGTTCCATCAGCGATGATATGAATTTTCCTATGCAAATTAGCCTGGTTTTCAGTTCAGTACAACAGCATTCCATGCGCCTTTGGTGTGTAGCCACACTGGCCACGGAAAATGGGTTCCTTCTCCCGGACGAGGAACAGAGATCAGCCCCTTGGTCTGGAATCAAACACGAGTCCACGGGGAAACCGTTTTTAATTAATCCATTTATTTTGGAATATCCACTTAACTTATACAGGCAGGATTCATACTGAAACACACACGTCATAAAAGAGCCAGGGTTGCCTACCCCTGAACTAGACCATCAATGTTTTATTTATTTTTTTAGTACATCACAGTCAAATGTGGCGGAGTAACACAGCGTACGAACCTGGTCAGTGTTAAATCACAAAGTCTGGTTCCCAAGAAGGAAGCGAGAGACCTCAAATGCGGCTGAATCAAGAAAAAGAGACTGCATTTTAAAACGAAACAAAACAAAAACAACAACATAAAACCACGCTCCTCTCCTGTATTTTTCCGAGAAATATTGGAATGAAAAATGACATCACTTTGTCATCTGTTCCAATTGATGTTACCCTCTTTGCGGTGACAGCTGAAAAGGCCCACAGGTGCCATATAAAGAGATGACCATGTTGTCATATTTCATTTAGGCGTCCCTCTGCAAAGGCATAATTACCTAATTAGCTTGTTAATTAGGAGATTAGCATTTCGCTGTATTGATAGAATGCTCTTTGCAGGCAGGAGTCGAGGAAACTAGATTTGTTGGCCTAATTTATAAGTGTGGTGGTTTCTTCCCTTCCTCCTCCCCCCCCCCATACTTATTTGCTTAAAATATTCAGGGAGAGTAATTCTGCCTTCTCTTAAGGGGAGCTTTTTTCTCCAGACAAGATACGGATAAGAGAGAAGTCCAGCCTCAGCAGGAACATGATCACCTCTCTCCATATCCAATCCTCCTCATCCTCCTCTCTTCCTCCTCCTCCTCCTCATCCTCTCTTCTTCCTCTTCCTCCTCCTCCTCTTCTTCCTCTTCATCTCCTCCTTCTCCTCCTCCTCCTTCTCTCTTCTTCCTTCTCCTCCTCCTCCTCCTCCTCCTTCTCTTCTTCTTCCTCTTCCTCCTCCTCTCCTCCTCCTTCTCCTCCTTTCCTCCTCCTTCTCCTCTTCCTCCTCCTCCTCCTCCTCCTCTTCTTCTTCTTTTTCTTCTTCTTTTTCTTCTTCTTCTTCTTCCTCCTCTTCCTCCTCCTCCTCCTCTTCTTCTTCTTCTTCTTCATTTTCCTCCTCCTCCTCTTCTTCTTCTTCTTCCTCTTTCTCTTCCTCCTCTTCCCCTCCTCCTCCTCCCCCCAATGTGTCTGCCTGCAAGCATCCCTGCTTAATTCCCGAATCTGTTTCCCAGTGATGATGTTTTTCAGTTACCCCAAAAGGAAACCACCTTTCTCCTCCCATCCTTTGCCTCTCTTCGGGTGTCAAGTCCACGGGGATTGACACATGGCAATATATGAATGGTGTGAACAGCAGAGAAATCACCTTTTGCTCGAAAGAGCTGGCCTTCAGGAAACACTGGGCTCCAAACCGTGCAGTCCTGCCTCAGACAGGAGCCTTCAGTAACCAGCACTCCGACAACTGCAGGGGGAAAAAAAAAAAAAGCTGCAGCTGACAAACTCTTGATGTATTCTTGCAAAAACTGTGATTTCCTCCCCCCCCCCACACACAATCCCTTCCTTGCTAACATCACTCATCTCTCTAAAGCGATATCTATCTGTAGGAGGGGGAAAAATCTTTTTTTCCCCCTCTCCTTAAGATGCACTGGGACTCCCTTCTTTATTAATGATTTGGGAGACACAGCTCACTTACAGTAATCATTTTTCCCTGGCTCTGAACCTGAGGAACCGCGGGCTGTAATTTTGAGAGCCCAGTAAGGAAAATAGAGATTATTTTTCAGGTTCCAATTTACTCTCGGTAATCAGGAAGCGTTCTCTCTTGAGTCTTCCTGTAAGCCCCACCATATAATAAGGTGGTTTGGGACGAGGTTGCTAGGAATGGATTCGCTTCCCAGGAACTTCCTTTGCGGTGCCTCGTTTCCACATGCAAAGTGTATTTTGTGATTCTGGCTGCTTTCACGCTGCTGTTTTGCCAGATGTAGCATGCATTTTGGCACAGAGATCAGTTGTTAAGGGATCACTGCAGTTGTTAAATTGGTCCCACGGTTGTTAAATGAATCCAGCTTCTTCCCCATTGACTTAGCTCGTCCGAAGGTCGGAAAAGGGCGTCACGTGATCCCTCCCGGGACACCACAACCGTCGTAAATATGAACCAGTTGTCAAACGTCTGAGTTTGGATCACGTGACCCACGGTCATGAAGTGTGAAAAACGATTGTAAAGTCCCTTTTTTTTTTCCCCAGTGCTGCTGTAACTTTGAGCGGACACTAAGCGAACGCTCGTCAGTCACGTGGGCATGTTTAAATTTCAAAATCATTTAAAAAGAAAAACGAACAAAGCCCGGCGTGGTAGCAGGGGGCCTAGCAGATGCGAGGGGACGAGAAACTTGGCACTTAACAAACACCCGCCTTGCTTCTTCCATTTTTTTATTTTATTTTATTTTATTGAGATCGGCCCAAACAGACATCGCTAACCTCTTTGCAAAAACAGACAAAAAAGTCAAAATTGTGCAACCGGGCTGTGATTCTTCTCTGCTGTTGTTTTGCCCACTGCCTCTCTAGCCAGAAGGTCCTGGCACGGGAGTGATTTTATTTACAAATTATAGTCCGTTTCCTCTTTGGCTACGGCGGAAGTTGAAAGGGTGCCAACCCAGTTGTGGGAGCTATTAAGAAAGCCCACATCCTTGTCAAGCCTCCCGGGCTATAAACAGGGTTCAGCGCAGGAAGAGGGAAATAAATAAATAAGTGGGCCTCTGCATCTGCTGTTAAGCCTGTTGTTTAACTCCCTCGGCAGACATTAAATCATTTTCAAGCACAATAATAGTGTGGGAGGTAAATTAACTAACCATTAACCATCTTATAAATACACAATTAACATGCCAAGCCTTCGTGTGACGGCATGGATGGGGCAGCCGTGGGTTTTTTGTTTTTTGTTTTGGGGACTGGGATTTGGCTTCTCCGTTGCTCAACCGTAGGTCTTTGAGGTGCTTCAAGCTTAATAATAATAATAATAATAATAATAATAATAATAATAATAATAATAATACATTAGCTCTGGCAAAGCAAAACTGCTTTCCTTTTCATAGGACCAGTGTCTTTTTTTTTTTTTTAAAGAGCTTTTGGCTGTGCAGTTTGCCCTAGGATGGAGTAGCCAAGAACTGCTTTTTATTAACTAATAAACTCAGCTATCTGGCTAGAGTAGCCTTCTGTCAAATTGAAAAAAAGAACTTGGGCATTTTCATGTAGCCGTACCAAAGCTTAAGAAGAGCTGTCCTCAGTAACATCATGAGCTAATCCCTTCTTGATTCCTTAATCATGTTACATATGTGTTACAGGTAGAAGAGAATGCATGTAGCTTGGGGTTGAAATGAGGGGTCCTTGGTGATCTCTGAAATTGGTGGCTTTCTGCAGACATTTCATTACCCATCTAGGTAACATCATCAGTGCACTGTATATAAACAGGGAGCAAGTCGCGCTAAATGATCTTATTGTGGCCCAAACCAGCGACCTAAATAGTGGATTAAATGCAACTTGTCCAGGTTGCTTACAGATAATTTGTGCAATATTTATAAATGCACACACACGCATGCATGCAGAAGCCACGGAAAAAGAATTGGCGATGCCAACATTTTTTTTTCTCCCCTCCCCAAAAAAATGCACGGCCAGTTTAAGAAAGCTGATAGAACAAACTTTTTTCTACAGCCCTTCTCCTGCACTTGGGAGTCTCCAATGATTGAGTGTCCTTGTTAGGAAATAAATTTCCTGGATGTCAAAAACTTGTGCGGCCAATGGAAAGCTTTAAATCACCCGGAGATGTCACCGGCAGACCTCAATTTATCTCCTGTCCATCCTGAATTAGCACCGTGTTAAAAGCCTTTGATTGGTCCAGGGGCGGGTCCCGATTGAATTGATTGGACAAGGATTTTGCCATGATTAGCAGCAATATTATTCCACCTCAAGGAAGAAAGGAGGATTTCCATTTGCCAAACTCAACAGTATTTTGCTTTGCTTCAGATTTTCGTATTTAAAAAAAAAAGAAACAAAGTCAACGACTAACACCTCTTTAAGTGGGTAGCAGCCCTTCTTAGGAGATTTTGTAAGCAGGTCAACTCTGCTGACACATGTGCCGTGCCTACTGGATGTTATAAAGAGCCCATCTCGTGTAGTGAAACCAGGAGACTGAATTTTAGTCCCACCTTATCCACAAAAGCCAGCTGGGTGACTCTGGGTCACTCACTAGGAGACTGTGAGTTCTAGTCCCACCTTGGGCATGAAAGATGGCTAGGTGATTTGGGGGTCAATCCCCAGGAGATGGTGAGTTCTAGTCCCACCTTATACATGAAAACCAGCTGGGTGACTTCCATCCAGTCCCTCCCTCTCAGCCCAGCCCACTTCGCTGGGTGGTCATTGTGGGGCAAAGAGGGGGAACAACTACTTATTGCACCAGTATCAAAGAAATGATGGAGTTGAATCATGAAAGAAAGGAGGCGAAAGGAAGGACAAAGCGAAATGCGAAGGACAAAAATGAAAATATATTTTTTTGATTTGTTTTACATAATTAAATTGAATTGCTCAATTGTCCTGCGGCCAGTTGTCCCATTCCATTCTGAGGGGCGTTAAATGAGTAACATGGTTGTTAAGATAATCTGGCTTCCCCATTGACTTTAATTGTTGCAGGTCGCAAAAGGAGATCATGTGATCCCCCCCCCCGGACGCTGCAACCATCCTCAATAGGAATCAGTTGCCCAGCGTCTGAATTTTGATTACGCAATCATGGGAATGCTTCAATGGTCATCAAATGTGAAAGACGGCCCACGAGTCCCTTTTTGTAACTTTGAGCGGTTGTGAGTCAAGGACTCCCTGTAATCCCATTTGGCACCCAGTCGTTTCCTAAGCTTGTCCTCTCCGGCGTCTATCCTGTGTTTCCTCCAGCAGGTAGAGAAGACGTTGGTTCAGCATGGATCAAAGAAGATAGTAGGGGAAGGCAGCAGAACCTGGAACAGTAGGATGGCTTTCTTGGACAACCCGGCTATTATCCTGGCTCACATCCGACAGTCTCATGTGACCAGCGATGACACGGGGATGTGTGAAATGGTCCTCATCGACCAGGACGTTGACTTGGAAAGATTCCACCCGGCTTCGGCCAATGGGGACGACAGCTCGGAAGGATCCAGCGGCAACGGCGAACCTCAGGGTTATGTGTATTCTCAGTCCGTGGACATTACCTCAAGCTGGGACTTCGGCATTCGAAGGCGCTCAAATACAGGTGAGTTGTGCTGGGAGCATCCTGGGGTGGGGGGGTTGTCTTCCTAGGATGAGGCTGGGATGTAAAGAGGGAGGCATCATAAGATACCTGGGTCAACTCCAGACGTCTCCAGGAATCGACTAACAAGGGGTGTGCAATTTTTTTCTCCCCACGGAAAGACCTGTTTCCATATTTGTTGGGAACTGTGTTTTGGGTGGAGTAAATAAACAGTCTACGGGAGGGGAAAAAAATAACTAAATTAGGGCTCCTTGGTGTCTTCTGAACTTGTCTGCTTTCTTGCAGACGTTTCATGACCCAAATTAGATAACATCGTCCGTGCTAGAAGGGAGTTGGTTTATGGGGAAGGAGGAGGATTATGGGGCCCTTGGTGCTCTCTGAGCTTGGTGGTTCTCTTGCAGACGTTTCATTACCCAAACTAGGCGACGTCATCAGTGGTAGAAAGGAGCAGGATTATATTGGATATAAACAGAAAGCAAATGGCCCTCCTTTCTGGCACTGATGATGTTACCAAGTTGGGCAATGAAACGTCTGCAAAAAAACAACCAAGCTTAGAGCTGCTACGTATAAAGAGGGAGCAAGTCACGTTCGATAGAACTGATGAGGTTGCCTAGTTGGGTAGTAAAACACCCGCAAGAAAATAACCAGGCTCAGAGAATACCAAGGACCCCTCATTTCAACCCTGAGCTATAAATATTCTCCTTTATTAGAAATAATGAAATGGGGACCTCCACTGACTTTCTCCCAGCTTTAGAAGAACGAGAGAGAGCCTTTTGTCTGAACTGATGTTTTTCGTTGGCTCAACAACTGGATGGATTTAATCCTCATCTAATGACAATGCAGTCCTCCAATAATGATCACTACTAGGACTCCAGAAATTGCTGTCCCTGTGCAATGATGTTTCCCCTAACAACCAGGGGTGGAAATTCCAGCCCCAGTTATTAAGGTGGTTTAAAAAGGATTGAGGGCAATAGAAGAAGGGGACGACAGAGAATGAGATGGCTGGATGGAGTCACTGAAGCAGTAGGTGTGAACTTAAATGGACTCCAGAAGATGGTGGAGGACAGGAAGACCTGGAGGAACATTGTCCATGGGGTCGCGATGGGTCGGACACGACTTCGCAATTAACAACAACAAGCTGTCATAAGATCAGGACCTCGGACAGCACCTTCTCACCAACACAAAAACTGGTCATTTTCTGGAAGTTTGTACATTCAGAGAGAGAGTTTTGTTTTTGTTTTTTAAACCAGTTTTAACCAGTTTATCCAACTGCTCCTCTTCTTTGTCTTCTGGAATCAATCTGACATTAAAAGCAGAGAGATAATTCCGAGTGCCTTCAAAGGCCTAGTTACTGATATTTCACCTATTTGAGCGTGGACTGTTTTGGACGTGGATTCGAAAATATGTAAAGAGGAAAAATGATATTCGGTTTTTTAAGATTTGACTAATGTGGCGCAGAAACAAATCATTTATTTTTACTACCTATAAACTGTTCCAGCACAGGGAAGAAAAAGCTATGCTAATTTATATAGCGTTGACATTTTATAATTTTCATGATTTTTTTTAGATAAAAGATTTTATATTTAAAACTTTAATAGTCTAGTCTGAGTTCATTTATCTTTAATTTTTGAAACGGGGAGAGTAATTCATAACAGTAATTTTATTCCTGTAATGTAATATTCACTTCAGTTCATTTGTGCATTAAAATTCCTTTAAGACCGTTATTAATGATTTATATAATGAAATGTCATATTAATCACACAAGTTTTCACATTTTATTATTCTCTTCCATGTTAATACTATCTTTATGATCTCTATTAATGTTTTATATCCTCTAATTTCAATTATAAATCAAGAACATTTTCATGTTTTTGTTGGTATTTGCTTTTCAGGGGTGCCACCTTTAAAATTTTATTGCACGCACCCCCCTCCAATAGATGTGCAGCATAAAACATCTTTATTCATAGCAAGGTAGTTAATTATGTCTTTTGTTCATCGCAAACTTTCGTTGACAAACTTAAATATTATAATACATTTTTTTTTTTTTTCTAAGCTCAGAGACTTGAACGGCTCCGGAAAGAGAGGCAAAATCAGATCAAATGCAAAAACGTGCAATGGAAAGAGAGAAATATCACCTGTTCTGGTAAAAAAAAAATATTATTTTATTCACCGTTCGTTTCTGGGCTTGTTTCATGCATAACCTTGTTAATTCTGTACATTTTTGCCTGATAAAGAATGAGAATAATTCCAGAGAGCGCTTGGCTAAAAGATAAATAACAAAGAATATTCTTTTAAAGAATTCACCGAAAACATGAGCTCTCCATCCACGTGTGCCACCCGTTTGGACTTCAGCGTCCATCATCCCTAGCCAGAAAAATCTAATGAGCAGGCAGGACGATGGGATTTGTAATCCCAACCCCCGTGGCTAGCCACAGGTGGTCAAAGCTGGAAGATTTTGGAGGATGCCCGGTCCTTGTCCTGATGGATCAGATAAGATTCATCCTTGGGAACAGTTAAAGCTTTAGAAATTGCCACGGGTGCTGCTGCTGTTCCCAGTTTTCCTGGAAGCAAAACCGCAAGGAGAATTATCTCAAGTTTTGGAACCACCTCTGTCCTAAGCTGCACCGTGGCTGCCCTATATGAGCTGCTAATCTGAACAGATTAGTTTTGTAATCTTGGTTCAAGAATAGCAAGGATGTGCATTTCGTTGTGTGCCTTAGTCCACAGCACGCAGTCCACTGTTTTATTTATTAGGCCGCTGTTCTTCTGAAGAGCACAAAGCAGGAGCGATGAGAGAAATTCCTTTTTTTTTTATTCTGAGAAGCTGTGAGTCTGTAACGTAAGGGAGAGATCTGGGTAGTGTTTCATCCCTTTAAAGTGTATCCATTTGGTGAATACACAATGAGATTTCTTGCAAATCAGCCGATCCATTCGGGAATTGGCCTTAACAACGGACTCCTTTCAGTCTTCACGGCCATTTGTATAGAAACAGAGAGCAAGCCCCATTCCCTGCTAGCACTGATGATGTTCCCTAGTCAGGTAATGAAACGTCTGCAAGAAAACAACCAAACTCAGAGAGGATGAAGGACCCCAAATCAAGTCCCATCTTCTGATCTTTTGTGCCCTATAATAGTTTCCCAAATCGTCCCATCAGCACTTCTCTTGAATCAAGGGAAGCTGCCTCATTCAGCAGAGAGATGGAGGCAGCACCTGTGCCAGCCAAACCAACCATAAGCCAGGATCTTGCAGTCTTTTCCCAAAGAGCAAAATTGCCTGTTAAAATGAGCTCTTGACCAGACGGATGAAACGCAACGTCTGACTGTCAAGCCCCAAAGAATAACTCAATGTAGCGTCTCAAGGTCATTGTTAGATATGAATTTCTTTATTTTTTGTTCCAGGCCAGACTGGTCTCTTCCAATTAGGTAAAATAGCTGACTCAGAGACTGTGACATACATGGTTTTAGTGACTAGACAGGTAGTCCTCCAACTTAACAACAGTTCACAGAAATTTTGGGCTCCATTGTGGTTGAAAATCGAGGATCACCTGTAGGGACAATTCAGTCCTCCTCTTCTGAGTTAGCCCAGCTCCTCCGTGGCTCTGTTGAGTTATCTCAGTGTCTCTCTTCTTGTAACGCTGGCCCAGCTGCACCTCCTCCATCTCAATATTTTGGGTTAAGCTGTCATCTCCCTGAGTCTGACAAGTTTTAATTCTGCCATTTAACAAATGAGTTCCCCTGCCCCCCCCATCCCTCCAGTGTTGGAAGTCCCCACTCAATCTGCCTGAGCATCCGTTCGAATCCTCAAGAGGGATAAGCGTGTAAATCTTGGGGACGTCTCCAGGTCCAGAGGTAGAAAAGATTGGTAGCTTGGAAGCGGATCTGTCAATGGTGATGGATTGAGTTTGGGGGCAGCTCGTTGCTGGAGCAGATGTGTCACGAAACCCCCTCCAATTCCACATTGGCTGTACGGAGAAGAAACCAATGGTAATAGGCAACAGCTCAACAAGTCTTGACAACTAAGTTCATCTGTCTTCATTTTTTTTTTTTTAAAGATACCCTTGCCTTACCCAAGAACCTTCCGGCTCGTCCTGACAAAGTTGCACCTGATTCCTAGGCTGAGTTGATGCTCCAACATGCCATCTTCTCTTGAGGGATGGTTAGCTTCTCAAATGTCCTATCCCCATTAGAAACTCCAATTTTGGATGCTCTCCCCAAGCCACAAGCATCCATGGGCTTCAAGGGGTCCACTTCAAGGTTCAGCTATATATTAGCCGCCCTCCGTGTAGAGTTTTCCACATCCAACTCAACAACACGGCAGCTGAATTGAACAGAAGACTTTATTTGGCCGAGTGTGATTAGACACCCAAGGAATTTGTTTCCGTTGCAGAAGCTCTCCCGTTGGCCATTAACCCATAATGAAGTAGCTGCTTAGAGACTGGATAACTGACCAGTGACAATGACCACCTCATCCAGATAATCGTATTACCTAACTATAGCTAATTTCCAGTCCCCCCCCCCCCATAGACTAGCTTTCCATTGGGTGTTTCAGCCTTGGAGGGGGCATCCAATCTCAACGGTGTTTTTTCAAAAGGCAACTGGGCTCTGGTTCTTCCTTGGGGAAGACATTTTGCTTCCCATCCTGGACGCTTCTTCAGTTCTGACTTCTTGACTTCACGTCCAAGAAGCTTCTGGGAGAAGAAGCGAAATGTCTTCTTCAAGGAGAAAACATAGTCCAGTTGCCCTCTGGAAAGGCCCCTTTGAGGCAACCCTGGCCTGGGTTGACTGAGGGTCTCCATAGCCAGTCAGATGCTGTAATGTTCCTCTCTGTCTTTGAACCCCAGCCGAGGAGCTGAGCCTCCTTTTTGACAAGAAGAACTTCAAGGTGAAGCCTGCCCACGCTCCTGCAAAGCCATCAGTCCTCTCCGTCCGGCTGGAACAGTGCCCTTTGCAGTTGAACAATCCTTTTAACGAGTACTCCAAGTTCGACGGCAAGGTAAGTTGATCAGGACAGGATCAGCTTAACTACTACCAGCTCTCTTTCTCTACTTTCAGTAGCGTTCTTCGCCTTTCTCCCCATCAAAATAAAAATTTAACTCAGCCGGTTGAGAGATCGAACATTCCCACTATCATTAAAGCTTTTTCTTTAAAAAAAAGAAGAAGAAGAAGAAGAGAGGATCAAAGCCCATGTTCCAAATCTGAAAAAAAGGATTTCAAGAGTCACCCAGCCTCTGGAGTAAATATATAATTAAGTAGGATTTTTTTTTTAAAGCATGCTTAATTAGGCCCCCAAAGTCTCTCTCCCCCCCCCCATAATAGACTTCCCCATCTCTTCCCAATTAGGCATTCCTTCCCCAAGAGACCCAATTGGTTCGGTTAATTATGCAAATCAGGCACGTTTCTATTCCCAGGCGAAGAATTTATGAATGTTCGCAAAAACTGCAACTCTTCATATATGTATATATATGAGAAGCAGGGCGATTGCTGTATTTGAAACCCAGGAAAAAAGCTCAGAGGAGGGAAAGAGTTGCTTAAAAATATATTGATTCTGAGTTGGTTGGTTTTTAATGTCGGAACCTCTCGGATTCTTTTTTTAATCGCGTGGTGAATTCGAACTGAAAGCAGGGCAGATTTAGTCGCCCGGGGCTGTGCTTGTCCAACAAGCAGACTGAGGTGTGAAAAATTTATCCTAATGCTTGACTTAAAAACAATTCATTTAGTGATCATTCAAAGTTAATAGCAGCACTGAAGAATTTGGTACATGACCATTTTTCACACTGATGATCTTTGCAGCATCCTATTGTCAAACTTCAGACACTAGGCAACTGACTCATATTTATAGAATAGGATAACAAAGTTGGAAGGGGCCCTGGAGGTCTTCTAGTCCAACCCCCTGCTCAGGCAGCAAACCCTATACAATTTCAGACAAATGGCTGTCCAATCTCTTCTTGAAAACCTCCAGTCTTGGAGCATCCACAGCTTCTGGAGGCAGGTTGTTCCACTGTTTAATTGTCCTCCCTGTCAGGAAATTTCTCCTTAGTTCCAGGTTGCTCCTCTCCTTGATGAGTTTCCATCCGTTGCGTCTTGTCCTGCCTTCAGGGACTTTGGAGAATAGCTTGACTCCCTCTTCTTTGGGGCAACCCCTGAGATACTGGGTTTAGTAGTTCAGCATCTCCAAAGGATAGTATCAAGGCTACGTTTTCTACATACGTTGCACTATTTAATCTCTGTTACCTTATCCAAAATTGTCCCAAAGGCAAGTGGACTTTTGTTATTCCTTGAAGACATTTCACATCTCATCCAAGAAGATTCTTTTAGTTCTTCATCTTCAAGGGAAAACAAAAGTCCAGTTGCTTTTTGAAAAAACACCTTTGGGATAACCATGATCTGGATGACCGAGAATCTTCATAGACGCTTATCCTAAATTAATTTCTCCTTTTCTGTCCATATCTGGGATTGATAGATATCCTTCCCTGGTTCATCTATGTAAAGTTTCTAGGACTTGCCCAGGTTGTGAAAACAATAGATAATCAAACATCCAGAAGCTTTTGAACTGGGGGAAAAATGTTTCAGATTTAATAATAATAATAATAATAAATCTCTGCCCTGCAGCAAAAATAAAACTTGCCTGCTGTAATTTGACATTTCAACTCTTTGGGGTTGAGCCCATCGAATTTGAGGCTGTCTAAGGCCATGGACCCCTGTCTGAAAAAGAAACCAACAACAATTTCTTTGTTAGCAACTGTTTTTAGCAATGAGAGTGGGGGAAGGGATAATTCATGAGTACTAATTGCTTGGCTGTTAATTTTCATAAGTGTTGATAGAAGCAGTTGCTTAAATTAAACTTTGTTTAAAACGTATCAGGGGAAATATTCAGCACTGTCGGGCCTGAAGTGAAAATTAATATGAATGCTGTGGCAATTAACACGTACTGGTTAATAGCTTTTAGCAGCATTTTGGGATGATAGACCTTAAATACATTTTTCGCATGCTGCTCTTGTACCAGTTGCGTTCCACATTTACGTCTGGATAATTATGAACAAATGTTTTTTTTTCCCCTCCCCACAATCGTGAGTACTAAATAGCTTTCCAAAAAAAAAGGGGGGGGGAAACCCCCACAGTCAATAAAAGATGGAGAAAGGAAATACACTGCAGTGTCGCCAGTTAAAAATATGTCTGAGATAATCATTTGATATTAAAAATCAGGTATACGCAAATTAGAAGTTTTAAATTTCCATGTTCCGTAATGAAGTATTTCCAGCCCGAACAGGTGTATCCAAATTAAACATCTGCATAGTTTCTTAAGTGCCTTTTTTCTTTTCTTTTTTTAAAAAAAGAGGAAACAGCATACTGCAACCCGATTAAATGCATCAAAATTAAAAGTTGATTTTTAGAAAGAAAGAAAGAATTATTGGGGTTTTGTTGGGGGTTTTAGCTCTTTCCTGATCATTCTCAAAATATATGTAATTTATGGTGTTACTGCACATGCGAGCGTGCATGTTTTCCTCTTGCGCCTTTTTTAGATGCTAAAGGAAGGTTACACTCTCTTAAAACAAAGCAAAAGGAGCATAGTATTAAAAATTAGAAATGAAAACAGCAGCCTGACAGAACCTCTTTTAAATTTCTTGAAATCTGTAAAGAGAAATTGCATTGTCAGTATTACTGGGTCATCCACTATGTTTTTGTCTAAAAAAAGCTAAGTGTACTCTTGTACTTGCAGATCAATGTGTTCCTAGTCTGAATTTTCCATCTTGAGACTTACATTAAACTACAAACCTCAGGATCAAAGTTCCCAATTTAACTGTGGGATTGTTTTCTTCCTCACCCCATCTCCTGTTTTACTCTTGAAAGATTCTCCAAAGCAGCAATTCTTAACATTTTCATTCCCTGGACCTCCTTTGAGAGGTGAAACCTATGAACCCTTCCCAGAAAAGTGTATTAAAATCCCAAAAGTAAAACACAAGAATATTGAGGAATATCTGCAAAAGAAACCAATTGTACTCAAATATAGATATCAAAATATTTAAACAATACATATTACGCTAATATGCATGCTTCTTTACTAATCCATTAAATCAATTACAAGACAAGCTAAATTTTAGGTAGCGATTAGTGAAAATAAAATTAGAATATTTTTTTTTCCGCATCCAAGTTTACAGATGCCCTGAAATCTATCACGGGTGAGAATATATATATATATATAAAATATTTCTCTCCAATGAAACCAGAGCAATGCAGCTTTTTAATCCATACTGCAAAAAAAAAAAAAAAAAACTTGTTTTCAGAAATCTGTGGAGTCTAGCCACATGTGTGCTTGGGCCACAGAGGGATCAATTATATGAAGAGAAGGAAAGTTGCAAACCTGGCCTTTAGTGTGCAGCCACTCATTGATTTTTAAATACAGTGAGTCCAGCAGAGAGCTAATTAAAATATTTCTGGCTGCAGACTGCTACTTAAGTTCTCGCTCACGGGGCGCTTGCTGTAAATCAGCCGTGCTGTTTCGTGGCATAGTCGGCTGTACAGGAAGTCACTTGCCCAAGTTTTACAGTTTCTGGGTGGAAGGACGGCAGATTAGAATATGGACAGGGAAGGTGCCCCAGAGCAAAATACTAAACATGCCCAGTTTGGGCATGAACGTAGAACATCAGAGTTGGAAGGGACCTCGGGGGTCTTCTAGTCCAACCCCCTGCTCAAGCAGGAAACCCTACACCGTTCCAGTCTAGTGGCTGTCCAATCTCTTCTTCAAAACCGCCAGTGATAGAGCAGCCACAACTTCTGGAGGCAAGTCGTTCCACTGGTTAATTGGTTTCCCTGTCAGGAAATTTCTCCTTAATTCTAGGTTGTTTCTCAGATGTGTATGCAAATAAACCGTGGTTTATCGCAACCCACCAAGTTGCCTTTTTTCCAGTCCGCCCTTGACTTGTCTGTTGTTTCTGTTACTGACTGCAAAGTTATCGCTCATATATAAATTGCCACAAGGCTCTTGAGCAAGAGAAGTTGGTCCTCGCTGCAATTTCAGTATTTCTCCAAACCAGCAACTTTCTGACTATCATCCTCCACTCTTTTCCCGCTGAATTTCAAAACCGGCTCGGTTACATCGATGTTCCCCCCCAAAAAATAATCCGATTGCATCTATCAATTTTTTTTTAATTTTTTTTTTTTTTACCTTCTACCCCTCCAAAAACAACAGCGGTGTGCAACGGATGTTACTCTTCCGGTGCAGCCAGGATTTCTTGGGTGAGCATTTAGCTGCAATTCATTTTAATTGTCCTTATGAAGTTAAAAAGTATTAGTGTCAAATAAAGATTCATCACCGTGGGTATGATTTAAAGCTGGGTCTCCCGAAATTAGGCATGTGTTTCAGCAGCTGTTTATACAAGACGCTGTCTCTTTTGACAGCAGTTAAAAAGTACAGTTGCCATAATCAAATTGCAATGCCAGCTTTGCTGAGGCGCTTGGCAGATTGGATCACGTATGTACGGATACGGCTGAGTGCGTGCAGCATATATACGTGGAGGGAAGACCAAGCGAATATTAATACGACACTTGAGCAGACAAAGCTCTCCTTTTAAAAACAAAACACATTGCTTGCTTTTTAAAAAAAAAAAAAATTAGGAACATATCTGACTTGCTACGAAACCGCCATTGAGCCAGGCTCAAAAGAATCAGGACATAAGGTTGCAGCCTAGAAGATTTATTCAACCCATTGCACAAGAATCTGGTCAACAAAAGTTCAACGTTAGAGTGGTAGCCGATAAGGGCCACCAGAATTCACAAGGAGCTCTTGTGGCAATGTAATGTTTCTAAGCTGATGGCACATTTAACTCCCTCTTCCAGATCTGCCTTGTCTTTTCCTACAGGTTGTTTTTTGCTGGGTCTCTTGCATTTTTGCTAACGGCCTTAAAGGGCCGTCGAAAAGACGCTGGAAGTCAGCTTATGAATCCTGGCTTCTTGGTAAGCCATTGCCCATCATTGATACCCCCTCAAGAAGGTTTA